TGGGAATAAAGAGGGAGCCTTTAGAACAGAACTGGTAGAACTCAAGGGCCTGTGGGGGTCAGGATGAGGTCAAGGATAAATCTGAGGTTTGTAGTTTGATGAACAGGTAAGCGGCAGTGTCAGTAAGCAAGGATGTAAAGAGGAGCAGGCTGAGGGAATGGTGGAAACATCAATTCTGAATGTACTAAACTCAAAAAATTTGGCAGGACAAAGATAAGACTCTCACTTGGCTTCAGGAAAATCCTCACCTCGATTTTTATAGCTGAAATTTTTATAAACATCAAAGTTTCCATTAGCCTTCCCACCTGCCCTTAAACCCCTTCTCACAGTCAGCCTGTGACTCTTCTGGCTGTGAGTCTGAAGTGAGTTGTGTGGAGTTCAGCAGGAGACAGAGAGCTCACCAGAAAGTGTGGCCAGGGTTCGCTCAGCTGTTGCCCGAAGGGTCTCCCCGGGCTGCCACTCTGCCTGGGGCAGCATCCAAACATCCTGGTCTCCAAGCTTCTCTTTGACCAACAGGATGAGGCTCCTGTCTAGCTTCCGGTGCAGTGAGGTTCGGTCATTCTTCTTATCAGCTTCTATGAAGAAAAGGGGATCAGAGGAGACAAGGAGGCTGTGGTCTGCCGGAACCGTAAGAGTTGTGTAGTTTTCCTTCAAGGTGAGAGTCACAACCTCTGCCCTCAAAGAACTTACAATCAAATTACAACCCTGGCCCCTCTCCTTAACCTTGACCTTTTCAAGGGTTCACCTCACAATTTTGAGGAAACTAAAAGGTAAGAGGAGGAAACCAAGAGCTGAACTTCTCTTCGAAGAGCAAAACATAAAAGTACTTTGAACCTTTGGAAAAGAAGCAATGTCCATACTACTACTTCATTAGCTTTGATACTATTACTAACTTAACTAATCCTCACTTTCTCTGTTCTTCAGGCTCTATCTGTGAAACAGGGATAAGGGAATTCAACCCTGTTTCATCTGAAGGCCCATTTTATCTGAAGGCTTTCAGATAAAACACAGGATAACCCAAACCAAACCCACTGCTGCTGAGTTGATTCTGACTCATAGTGACCTTATACAACAGAGTAGAACTGCCCGATGGGGTTTTCAATGAGTAGCTGGTGGATTCGAACTGTCAACCTTTTGGTTGGGAGCCAAGCTCTTAACCACTGCACTACCAGGGCTCCAAAACACAGGGTATAGTGGGAAAAGGCTTAATTTCTCCTCTCTCAATCCCAAATTAGGAGTTAAATTTAGATAGCATTCACAAAATTTAACAGAGAGAGAAAAGACTATTCCATCACCCTTACCTCATACTCAAAAAACAATGCAGGCCTTTAAAAAAAATTAGGATAGATGTGAGGAACAGGGAAAAGAAATTATTTTTCTCCCACCTGAAAGAAGTTTTGTTATCTGAATCTATTTGTTACTGAAAACACAAAGCCAGTGCTAAGAAGTTGTTCTTTATTTGGGAACCAGAACCCATTTCTTTCCCTTCCCTCTTGCTGGCCCGACAAGGCCACAAACCTGTTATGCGAGCTCCAGGTTTGAACTGTAGGAATGTCTGTTCCCACATATCTTCCAAATCCTGCACCAACAATATCTCCTTGCCATCTTCCTCTTCTTCATAGAGGTCGGCTTTCTTCCTTGCCAGCTTCTGGGCTTCATCCAAAGCACGAAGCTCATGGTCTGAATACAGGCTTCTCTCTACCTCGATCTAGGAAAGTTAAAAGGACAAAAACTGAATAAAACAAGAGCTCTAGCACATTTGACATGCTCAAAAGTTTATCAAGAATTGACGCCTCTGAACGACGGTGCTGGTAAAGAATACTGAATATACCATGGACTGTCAGAAGAACAAACAAATCTGTCTTGGAAAAAGTATGGCCAGAATGCTCCTCAGAAGCAACGATGGCGAGACTTTGTCTCACATACTTTGGAGATGTTATCAGGAAGGACCAGTCCCTGGAGAAGGATATCATATTTGGTAAAGTAGAGGATCAGCAAAAAAGAGGAAGATCCTCAAGATGGATAGACACAGTGGCTGCAACAATGGGCTCAAGCATAACAATGATTGTGAGGATGGCACAAGACTGGGCAGTGTTTCGTTCTGTTGTACACAGGGTTGCTATGAGTTGGAACCGACTCAACGACATCTAACAACAATAACAACACAACCAAACATACAATCAAAACAGCATACAGAGACAGAAAAAAATATCACCTGCACTTTGGGTTTGAGTTACATTTGCCAAAATGTTCGAATGTGAGAAGGGATCAAGACTGCTACAAAGAACAGAGGCCTGGGGCAGATACTGCCTGTCCACTTCCCATGCTCCAGTCACATCAGTCTTTGATGAGTTCACAAAGTACTTTCCTGCCTAATGGACTTTACAAATGCTGTTCCTTCTTCCTAGAATGTTTTTTCTTCACACTGTTCTCCTGGGAGAGTCTTATTTATTCTTCAGATTCCAATTTAAATATCACTAAACGCAAGATGTTCCTTGAGAGCTACCTGCAGTGCAGTGAATTAATATGGCCCTTCTCGCCATGCATAGTCTTGTGATTCCCACAACGACTCGGTAGAACTATGCAAATAAAGTACCTGTGGCCCAACAAGGGGATTTGCCAGCCTGCTAATAATGCAAATAAAGTGCATGGAAACCTTGTAGGAGTGGGACCATGTAAATAAGGTCTATGGAACCCTAACGAGGGGACTGGTCAGTTTTGCCAGCCCCCTAGGCTTAAAAGGACCCAATCCCAGAAGCAGAGAGAGAAACCTCACTACCACCAAGAAGAGCCAGGAGCAGAGTGCATCCTTTGATCCCGGGGTCCCTGCGCTAAGAACCTCCTAGACCCAGGAGACAGAGAGAGTTGTAATACCGGAGACAGCGCAAGACGGTAAGAAGCAGCAGAAAGCGCAGCAGAGAAACAGTGGAGGGAGAACAGGGAGACCAGCAGGAGATGGCATGGTGAGCTTCCTGGCCCATGGAGCAAGGTGGCTACAGTGGAGGTGGCTACAGTGGGCATGCCGACCCACTGCGCAAATGAGCTGAGCGCCTTTGGGCAGGAGGCTTGCTGGCTGAGTGGGGTGCCTCCAGGCACTTGGTGGAGCTGCCAACCCACTGAGAGAGGGAGCTGAGCAAACCTTTGGCCCAAGGATTACTGGCAGAGTGGGGTGTCTCCGGGAACTTACTGGCAGAGCTAAAAGAAATTTGTAACACTTGTTCCAGCTGGGCCGAGGGAGGAGGCCTGTCTTCAGGGGGCCGAGAGGAGCTGAGAGCTGTCCTGCACTGGAGAAGGGAGACTTTCCTACATGGTTCCTGATCCTGATCCTGAGTTGTAGCCTGTTGATCCTGATCCCAAATTGTAACCTGTTACTTCCCTAAAAGACGCCATAACTGTGGGTGTAGTCTGTGAGTTCTGTGTGGCCACTGAACAAATTATCGAACTCAGCAGAGAAGCAGAGAGTGCTGTGGGGGGATGGCTGGTGTCAGGATTGGTAAAAAGGTTGGAGAGAAGGTATGTTTGACTTCCACCTTATAAGAATCAGCTTTGAGCTGACGTTGATCTTGATAATGATTCTCTCTCCCCCTCTTGAAGTTAGATGACAAGGCCTATTGCTGCCACTCCATTTTTACACTACCAGAAAATCAAAATAAGGTTTCCCTGTTAAGCACTCTTACAGTAACTGTACTTTCCTTTACAATCTGTATCTGTGTCTACAATTATATAGTCATGTGATTACTTGGTTACTGACTGCCCCCTCCATGAGACTGACATCTCTGAGGACCACAGATATGCCTGCCTTACTAACCAGTGCATCCTTAGCACAGCGTCTGATACACAGTAGGTGACCAATGAATATCTGAGAGTACACGAATAAATCGAGTAAAAAACACAGAAGAGAAGTTTATAGATCTCAGTAGCCCAAGACGAAAGTATTTCACACCCTGGGGAAATATAACACTCTTACATCATCATCTGTGGTGACTTAAGACCCTCATAGCCACTACACCCAGTTTTTGTCCAGGTTTCCTCACCTGTCCCTCATACAAATAACCCTGTGAGGTAAAGCGGAGCAGGTTTTACCACAGGCATTTACAGATGTGTCCACTGTCTCCTGTACTTTCTTCTTCCTAACACTCACCACAGCACAAAGACTTTATCCCCTCCAGACTGTAAGCTCTCTGTGATAAGAACTGAGTCAGCCTTGTTTACAACGGCATTCCTACTGTGTTGAATGAACAAGCAGAAGGAGAAATCTCCAAGTAGTTGCCTAAAATGACAATAAAGAAAGCCAAAAAAAAAAAGGAGACTACCTTTTGTTGAACGCCCACTATGTACAAGTCACTAAGCTAGTTACCCCTTTACAGGTAAGTATGCTGAAGTTCAAGGAGCCCTGGTGGCGCGTGGTTAGCCTTGGCTGCTAACGGAAATGTCAACGGATGTAACCACCAGCCGCTCTGTGGGAGAAAAGACCTGGTGATCTGCTCCCTTAAAGATTATAGCCTAGGAAACCCTATAGGGCAGTTCTACTCTGTCACATTGGGCAGCTATGAGTCTAAATCGACTCGACGGCACACAACACAGAGATAAAGTGATACCCCAAAGGTCACACAAACTAATTGGTGCCGGAGTCGGGATCGAACCCAGACCTGACTCTATTCCTTCCTCACGTCACGTTGAAATCGCAGTCCGCACCTCAGTCTTACCTGCTTTAGTAGAGCCGCCATATCCTCCTGCAACGGGGTCAGCGGCTTCGAGACTAGCGGCGGCCGCTGCAGGCACAATGCGCCCAACAGGCGCCATGGGCACCCGCTATTCGAAGGTGCGGCCGAGAGAGCCAGGCTGCGAATACTCAGGCTAGCAGTCGAAAGCCCCTCCAATCGCCACCAGCCCCGCGCCACCCCCAACAAGGTTCGCGTTACGGGCGCCGCCATCTTCCTACTCTGCCCACAATGCACCGCGGCACCCAGCGACGCCCTCAGCCAACCCCATGTTCCCACAAGGCTGCGGGATGAAGGAGAGCGCTAAAGTCGCTGTTAGAACAAACCATTCCAAAATGACAGATATACGAAGATCTTGTCATGTTAGACAAGTTAGAAGAAAGGTAAGTTCCAAGTTGAAACCTAAATGTAGTTTTTAGACCACTTAAATTGAATAAATCAATTTAGTGAACCTTATAAAGAAGAATTGTATAACTTTCCCTTCTGTCTCTCCCCCACAGGCACTCGTGGTGCTGGCGCTGCTCCCGCTACGCAAGGCTCCGCGGACGCCGCTGATGGGCACCGGCTGGGGTCAGATTAAGCCATGCAGGCTGTAAGGAACGCGGGGACCGTGTTCTTGAGGTCATGGGCTCGGCCACCAACCACGGGGTGAGAATAATTGCCCCTCCGAGAGGCGTTTGTCCCATTATGTCCCATGAGCCACCTTGGCTCCAGTGGCCATTAGGTCTGGACCTCACCGAACTTTTCCTCCCTGCAGAGTCGTAGCCGACGCGCCGGCCCGGACTATCCACACAAGCCTCCAGCAGCTGCAAGAAGCGGCGGCGAAGAAGAAAGTTGAGGAGGAGGCGGCCGCTCCGAGCCGCAGCAGCTTCAGGTGAGAGCCACTTAGTTTCGGTCGTCGCTAGACCAGCACCCCGTGATTCTTGCCCGTCACTCTCCGGAGAACCACTGAATTCCCAACTCTGCTACTTGCCATTTGCGTGACCTTCTGTAAATCAAGCCTCAACTTTCTCATTTTAAAATGGGGATAATGCTGAGGGAAGTTGTGAAAATGAAATGAGCCCTGGCACACAGTGGATGCTCAGTGAACACTTGTTAATGAGTGAGTGGATGTTGGATGAGTTAATATCAGTCTTCTTTCTGCAGAGATGGAGATAACCCCTCAGACGAGCAGCCTTCCCTGTCTCGGACACCAGAGTGGGTGGATGTGTACAGAGGGGTGGTTCCTGGGGTATGGAACACATTACTGCAGACTTGTGGACTTATTAGAGTTAGTCCGGGGCCAGGGTGGTTTTTGTGCTCAGCCTTAGGGACTGTGGTACCTTGCCTCCCACTACTGCCACCATCTCTATGTACCACATGTAGCTCACATCCACTTAGCATTTACTGAGAACCTACTGTGTGCCAGGCACCATGCCAGGTGCTGGAAATACAAAACATCATTCCTTTCCACAAGTACTGTAGTTCACAGTCTACCAAGGAAGGCAGACATGCAAACGGTTACACCATAATCTGATCAGTAGTATAATGACAGTAAGAGCTTGGTGTTTGGACATAGGAAAGAAAGTGTCTCACTCCTGAGGAAATCAGGCAAGACTGTAGAGAAGATAATGTGAAGCTAAGAATTGAATGGGCGTTTAGCTGGGCAAGATGATAGTGATCATTTTAGGGGAAGCTAACAGCCCCTGTAAATGCATGCAGTACGAAAGAACACAGTGTCTTCGGGTAGTTCTGTGATGCTTAGGGTAAGTGGGGACACTAACGGTAGATGAGACCAGCAGGACTACAGAGGATCGTAATACGGAGGGTCTTGTCTGTCATACTGAATCTTTCTATCCCCACTGTAGGCAGTGGTTTGCTGCTTGAAGGAGTTTAAACGAAGATTCTGTTGTAGTTCTTCATTCAACAATGCCAGGCACTGTTCAAGGTGCTGGAGCTATATCAGGGATCAAACAGACAAAAATCTTTGCCTCGTAGAATTTAACTTCTAGTGGGGGAGACAGTAAATAAAAAACAAGTAAAACATGGGCATATGACAGATGGTAGGAATGTGTCTAGTATTCGTGGGGAACAGCAGGAAGGCCAGCGTGGAGTGACATGTAAAAATACAGTAAAACCTGCAAAAGCTGGAACCTGTGTAAGGCAGAAGCCTGTCAGAGAAGGAAAACTCAAATATTTTCCACTAAAACGAGTGATAGGAAAGTAGTAAGACTATACCCTGTCAAAGGCGGAAAACTTGTGAGACCTGGAAAAACAAGGCAGTCCCTTCGAGTTCTGGCTCTCCAGGTTTCACTGCAGTAGGAGATAAGAGTGGGGAGGGGCAGCATGCAGCAGACTTGTGCAGCCACATCCCATGTGGCCTTTTTTGGCCATCTTAAGGACTTCAGCTTTTACTCTTGAGTGAGAGGGGAAGTCATGGGAGAGTTTTGTGTAGAAGTGTGACATGATCTTGCCTACATTTTAAAAGGAGCCTTTTACCTGCCGTGTTGATATTGAACTGTGGGGGAGCAAGCATGGAAGCAGGGAGAAGTCATCGATGCACTTAGAAGACTATTGAAGTAATCCAGGCAAGAAACAATGGTGGCTGATACATTTTGAAGGTGGAGCCAACAGGATTTGTTAATGTAAGGTGTGAGAAACGGAGAGGAGTGAAGAAAGACTACTTTTGGGCCCCAGCAACTGAAAAGATGGAGTTAGCATTTATTAAGATGGGGAAGACTACAGGAGTTTGGATTTGGCTGGGTTAACATTTTCGTTACCATTGGGTTAACAGTATACCAGCCACTTTTTATGCCTCTGGTCATCAGAGGTAAGGCGGTGTTCGATTCTAATGCCTTTAACGTCAGGGTGGGTCCTTTAGAAGTTCATTCAGCTCAACAGACCTGAGCTGGAGCCTCATTGTTGTATAGGTTGAGAATTCTATTAGGTGATGCTTCCTGGATGTGCTAGTTTTGTAAACTTTTGCCTTTTTTCCCTTTATTTCTGTGAGATAAGACTTGTGAGTATAATCATGCCTTTCTTGTGTGATAGCTAGGGAGCCTTGATGGGTTCGTTTTGATACTTCTGTGTCATATTTGGAAAACCAGAGGTTCCCCATGTAACCTAATGGAAAGTGTCTGCAATAAATTGTTTATATAGTGCTTATTGGTATATTGTCGTACCCCAGATCATTGGTGCCACGGTGCCACTTGCCTCTTTGGTGGCTTGTATTACTAGATCATATTTCTCAAAATCCATGTTAGCAACCAAAAATTTATAAGCAATACTGAAAACACATACCATCAAAAAAAAAAAAATTGAGAGAAAAACGTAGTAATGAAAGTTAAATTTGAGATGCTTAATTAACATCTGAGTGGAGATACAAGGAAAGTTATTAGAAATCGAGCTCAGAGGATCAGTCTGGTCTAGCGATATACGTAGAGATGATATTTAAAACCATAAGACTGAATGAGATCATCAAGAGGCTAAGTACAGATAAAGAAAAGAGGTCCAAGGACTGAACCCTGGAGCCCTCCAACATTTAGAGATCTGAAAGATGAGGAAGAACCAGCAAAAGCGACAGAGACCCTCCAGAGAGGTAGGAAACCAGGAGAGCTCTTTGGTTTGTTTGTTTAATATATTTAAGGGGGAGGGAGCTCAGCTGATAGACTAGGTCAGCCAGGACGGAGACTGAAAATTGCTCACTGGGTTTAACAGTGCGGAGTTGATTGGTGACCTTGGCAAGAGCAGTTGTGGCGTTGGGGGGCGGGGGGCAGGCCAGGGCTGCTGCTGTACCACCCACAAAGCAGGAAAGGCCCTAAAACAGAGACTTATCCAGCCAGTATGTCAGTAGTGCTGAGGCTGAGAAACCCTGGGATAGAGAGAGACCAGCGGACATGGCTATGTGTTTTTCTCTAGCCAGCTGTGTGGGTGCAGGCATAGGCTTAGAATGGCTGGGGGAGGTGGCTTTAACCAGGGTAGGGGTTTGCCAGGCGAGTACAGTGAAGTGAGAGTGGGCAGAGAATTGAGGTGTGGCGGGAGGCTAGTAATTGGAGTGATTGACTGTGGCATTTCCTCTAGATGAGGAGGGCAGTGAGGACACGAGGGATCTAAGGGGTAGTGAAAGATGGTAGGTCCGTGGGATTGAAGGGCTCCTGGACGAGGATTGTAGAGGGAGTGAGTGGACGTGCCAGAGGGGGTGGCCACAGAGTGTGATGTTCGAAACCAAGGCTATAAAGGGGTTGCAGGTACTGGTCATGAAAGGGGCTAGGTAGGATGGAGGGATTGTTAGAGAAAAGGAGGTCCAGAAACAGAGAAGCCACATGGTTAGAAGGATCTTACTGAATCACCAACAGTTATGATAGAAGTAGTGTTAAGTGAAGGACCCTGGTGAAGCAATGGTTAAGCACTCAGCTGCTAACTGAAAGGTGGGTGGTTCAAGCCCACCAGCAGCTCCGTGGGAGAAAGATATGGCAGTCTGCTTCCGTAAAGATTTACAGACTTGGAAACTGTATGAGACAGTTCTACCCTGTCGTATAGGGTCACTGTGAGTTGGAGTCAACTCCATGGCAGTGGGTATGGTTTTGGGTTTATCTCATTTCCCTGGTGTGAGAATGGGTATGAAATGGCAGCAGACCAGTGCCAAAAAGCTTTGCCTTTCCTTCCCTGGGCTTCTTTGGGGTGAACCACTTATTTAGTCCTGCATTGGACCTGGGAGGTTTCAAGGTCTGGTTTTGCCTATGCCAATCAAATGGTTTAAGCCCCAAATCCTTCGTATCTAAAATCTTGTTATATGTGAAAGGCATTACACTGGTTAGATACTTGTTAGTAGGCTTGTTATTTTGGCCCAGGTCAATAGGGAAAATTACCAATGGGGAAATGGTATGTCTTAAATCCGAATGTCATCTAGGAGACTCCACTTTCCATCTAGGCATGCAGTGGGCTGATAAGCCAGCAACATATGAGGGTCTAGGTCATCTCTAAGGTGAGGCCTAGCAGGAAAGAATATTCTTATAACTTTTGAATATCACTATGTTATTTTGTTTTGTTTTTTAGAATACCTCTAGGAAGACAGGTAGGGCTGGGCAAGGACAGGTGCCCAAATAATAGTGTAGTTTATTTCAGGGGGCAGTGGAGGGTCCAAGCATGAATCTGATGTGGTCAGGTGGGGACAGTGGGTTTACTCCTCTCTCGAATGCTGAGTGACAGTTACATGTGCGTTTGAATAAAAGAAGGCATAGCTTGGTGGACAAAACTCTGAACTGAGACCGGTCTCCAAGATATAAGGCCTGCCCTCCCTCACTGACTCTGTTCTCCTACTTGTACCTGTGTTTTTCCACCTGAAAATGAAGAGTGCTTACCTAAGGATAGCCAGAGAACAGATTGGGCTGGCATGGTGAAAGATCTTGGACTTAATACAGGGTCTAGGCCAGTGTTCTCAACCCGGAGTTCACATCAGATTCACCTGCCCATTGCCATCAAGTCGGTTCTGACTCAGCGACCATCCCACTGCCAGATCTTTCACCCGTGGAGTGGCTGGTGGTTTTGAATCACTGAACTTTCAGTTAGCAGCTGAGTGATTTAACCACTGTACAACCAGGGCTCCTTCAGATTCACCTAGAGTATTTTAAAAGCAGATTGTCAAACCCCACCCAGAAGTTTGGGGTGGAGCTTAAGCCCCTCGATGCGACAAAGGTGATCCTGATGTTCGGCCAGCACTGAGAACCACTGGTCCAAGGTAGGGTTTAGCCAACTCCCACTCATACGCCGCATCTGGCCTGTTGCCAGTTTTTGTAATAAAGTTTTATTGACACACAGCCACACCCATTTGTGTATATGTTGTCTTTGTCTGTTTTTTCACTACAGTGACAGGGTTGAGTAGTTAGGACAGAAACCACATGGCTGGCAAAGCCTAAAACATACTGTCTGGCCCTTTACAGAAAACATTTGCTGCCTCTGCTCTAGGATACTGAGTTTTTTGATATATATTATAATTATAATATTACTAAAATTATTTCATCTTATTTTTTATAAAGTAGGGAGTCAAGATATTGTCTGTGGTTAATAAAACCTGAAATGGAAATTTGACTATTTTTAAAGTTAGGAAAAGGATAACCTGTGGTGGATTTGAAATAGTCATGATTATACTAGAAGGGACGAGGGGAGGTAGAGTGTATAACTAAAATCTCTTCTTTCACAGCAGCAGGTCACTAGATATATCTAAAATTGACGAGTCAGGAAATAGCGACACAAGCATACTGTTGACAGATACGGTGGTAGCATCCAGAAGGATTGCAAAGGAAGGGCAGCAGGCAGCTACCTGGCAGAGCAAGTCTAGGACAGAGAGCTGTTGTTTTCCGTTATGAGTTCTTCCATGCTATTCACTTTGTTTTGTTTTTTTACCATATGATGTATTTCTTTGATTAATAATAAGGCAATTTTAAATAATTTTTTTCTTCTAATTGCAGCATTTACCCTCCGGTTCCAGGACAGGAGAGCTCTCTGAGGTGGGCAGGAAAGAAATTTGAGGAAATCCCAATCGCACACATTAAGGCATCCTACAACAAGTAAGCAGGCGGCACCTGGGCAGGTCGGTGGTGGCTCTCTTTCCCCTTCTCAGTAGGGTTGAGGGGTCAGGGCTGAAGGTGCTAGTGTAGACAACCCCAGGCTCACCCCTTCTTGTTTTGGGAAACCACCTTCTGTCTTTTTAAAGCCTGTTCCAGTTCCAAAAAAATGTGAAATAGGTTGGGAGTATCACGGTTATAAGATCGCTTTGCTTTCCTTGGGAATAGTATTTCCTGGTTCTGCTCAGGAGTTGGCGAGGATGTATCTTAGAGCCAGATAGTCCTGCCATGAAGGTGTTTATTAAGCATTGCTGAGTGCTCAGCATGGGGGGCAGAGGGCGAGTGACACATAAATAAGATGAGAGATGTGATTTAAGAGTGTGTGATTTATTACAAACTAACCGGAATATAAAGCTCCAAATAAATGTCCCCGTAATGTCCTTGCCTTGGGCCACCGTGCACTGGCCTCTGCTTTTTAGGGCTAAATGTGAATGGTGACATTAAACCAGTGACAGGACTAACCTTGTGAGGCTTTCAGATGGGTGCTGGCGGGAGCTCCCAGTGTGCGTTGGCAATGAAGCACGCTGACATTAGTGACAACTTTGCAGGTCAGCCCCACTTAGAGATCGGGTTAGTGTCTGGTCACAGAGTCCATGAAGCAATTTAAAGAACAATATAGGACTTGGTGGTCACGGGTAGAGTGTGTGACACAGATGAAATGCTTCACGGGTTCAAAAAGGAGCTGGATTTCTTTTTCCTCCCCACTCACGCTGATGAGGAAATAGATCAGCTCTGTTTCTCTCCTTGAACAGTAGCTATATCCTGTATGCCCCCTTCTCTTCCCAGCACCCAGATCCAGGTTGTCTCTGCCACGAACCAGCCACTGGCCCATGCTTCCTGTGGCACAGAGGGATTTCGAAATGCCAAGAAGGGCACCGGCATTGCAGCGCAGACTACAGGCATAGCCGCAGCAGCGGTAAGTGGGTGTCCTTCCCAGCCCTCTCTGGTGAGTTCTGCTCGCTGCATGGCCAATCACTGTAAAGGAGAATTCTCATTACATTAGTGTTCAGAAGTAATGGGATGTTTACCAATCCATGTTAGATGCCCAAACACATTGAGTGGTTTGAAGAGGTCTGTGTGAAAAGGCCTCTCTCTTCTCTTTCTCTTGGCTGCATTAGAGGTGAAACACATATTGGTTCGTTCCAGGAAATATAAGAGGCAGGGCGCTGAAGACTTAAGATTCAGAGCCCCCTCCATTTAAAAGCCAGTGGGGCTTTGGGGGTGGGGTTGGTGATAACAGTTTATTAGGAGAGCATGTGGTATGAAGACGCATACATTACCAGTTTGAGTGAGAACTATTTTTGCAAACCTCTCTAGAAGCCAGCTGACAGTGTGCTGCTGCTCATATATTTATTGAGCATCTACACTGTGCCAGACACTTTATTCATTATCTATGAGTTGGAATCCAGTCGACGGCAACAAGTTTGGTTTTGGTTTTTAATTCTGAAAAGACCCTCAGTATTATGCACATTTTCAAGAGCCAGTTGAGATTCAGCATTTGTGACTTGTTCAGAGCCCTGCAGCCAGTTCAGTTCCCTGCTCTGAGCCCAGATCCATCTGGGACCAAAGCACCTCTACTTCCCACTGTAGCACAGGCCTCACAAATGCTCCCACTCTGCCAAACCAGGAGTACTTCCTGGGGGCAAACCTTGACCTTTGAGGCAAGCTCAGTGCCCAGAAATACTCATTGCTACATGTTAATGATAATCAAAAATGGAAATGTTCTAAATGTCCAACAGTGGACAGATTATATATGACTCAAGGGCATATATCAATGTTAACAGTGACTTCTGCATGGTGGATTATGAGTGAATTTTGTGTATTTGCTAGACTTTGTATAGTGAATTGCCTTTATAGTCAAGACCAAAAAATTATAAAGATTTAAAATGGTGAGAGAAACACTTTAACTGGGTATTTAGGCTCAGTCTTGAAGTCCAGGGCACCTCCTTATGATCCTGGAATTCTGCATTTATCCACTTGGGAGAAACCTGAGCGATATTTAGAATTCTCCATTAGGTGGCAGTGCTGTTGTGGGCTAAAGGGATCACTACCAATCACCAGTTGCCCTTGATTGGATTCAGCCTCATGGCAACCCCATGTGTGTCAGAGAACTATGCTCCTCATGTTTTCAGTGGCTGATTTTTCCAAAGTAGATCACCAGGCCTTTCTTCTGAGATGCCTCAGGGTGGACTCAAACCTCCAACCTTTCAGTCAGCAGCCAGGGGTGTTAACTGTCTGCATCACCTAGTCCACTTTAATTCCATGATTCCCTAGGTTCTGTGGCCTCTGGCGGTGTCTGTTCTCCACTGTGGCTACCTGCCCTTTGCTTCTTTTGCTTTGGGCTCCCTGTCTGTCTGTCTGTCTGTCTGACTGACTGTGTGTGTCTGTGTGTGTGAATATAGTGGTTCTCTCTGGGGCACTAACCAATTGCTGCTTTTTTAGAAAGCTACAGGAAAGGGTGTGACCCACATCCGAGTGGTGGTGAAAGGCCTCGGGCCAGGGCGCTTGGTAAGTGACCGTTATTCTCCACAGCGTACATGCAGAGAGAAACGGGGTTTGACAGCAGAGTGGAGAGAGAGAGAGGAAAGGACCCTGTAGTGGGTTGCCATGCTGGCTTGGAGTTTGTTTCTGTTGTTCCTGTGATCTCTCAGCTCCTCAAAGCAGACCCGGATTGCTTAGCTCAGTCCATCAGACACTTACTGAGTGCCTGCTGCATACCAGGCCCTGGGAGTGGGAGGGTGGCCTCTGGGGGACCATCACAGACAGTCCCTGAGTACAGACCAGCGAGGGCATGGTCAAGCATGTGCCAGGGTGAGCAGGAGCCCGTGGGGGATGGTCAGGAGCTTCCCTAAAGAGGTGACATCTTTACTGGCTTTTCAAGAATAACAGGGTATTGCCAGGTGAGAGAGGAGGGAAGGACATTCCAGGCAGAGGAAACTGCGTAAGTTGTTGTCGTTTGTTGCTGTCGAGTCGATCCGACTCGTGGCGACCCCATGTGTGCAGAGTAGAACTTTTCTCCATAGCGTTTTCAAGGCTGTGACGTTTCAGAAGCAGACCACCAGGCCCTCCGAGGTACCTCAGGGTGGGTTTGAACCACCAGCCTTTCGGCTAGTAGTCAGGCACTTAACCCAAGGACTCCACAGCTTAAGTAAAGCTACAGAAGTGTGAGTGAGGCTTCAGGTGTGCCAAGGCCATAGTAGTTTTGGTTCCTGGATCATGAAGCACAAGGTGCAAAGTGGCAGGTGCAGTTAGAGAGGTGGGCAGCATTGAGAACTTGGCTACGGGTTTGGTGGAGACCGCTGTGAGAGTGCTGGGGAATAGGGTTGGGATTGTATGTACTAAAGTCAGAGAGCCTCCTCGGCCCCATCTCGATCCCCCTAAGCCCTGTCTGGGATGCTGGGGCCATCATTCTCCTGTCCCTCTGCCCTTTCCAGTCTGCCATCAAAGGACTGAGCATGGGGGGCCTGGAGGTGATTTCCATCACTGACAACACCCCCATCCCACACAATGGCTGCCGCCCCCGGAAGGCTCGGAGGCTGTGAGGGAAGGACGCAGGAACCTGATCGCAAGTCTTCAGTCCAGCAGGACCTTGCAGAAATCACACTGTCTGACTGTCTCCAGAAGACGTCTTGTGGGAGATGAGTTCAGGCATCGAGGAGAGAGCTTTGCCTCCTTACACGGTGGCCTTCGCTTGCTCCTTTGACTCAAGACATGAGGCCAGGCCTGTCTTGGACAGGAGGGGAAGCAACAGGGACAGCTGTGGCCCACACACCACCCAGCAAATGCTGCCTCTGCTCCGATGAAAATAAAAGAGTGTCTCTACCACCTTAGTAACTTGTGAGTTTTTTGCTTCCGGAGTTGGGAACAGTAATCTCTCTCTTCCTACTGAAAAAGCGATTGTGAATTGAGGCGAGACCCAAATGAGAAGGTTAAAATGCAGCAGATGTGAGCTGCCACTTCCCAGACACCTCCCCCTTCAATTCAGATGTTTCTTTTGTAGCCCTTTCACCAAGGTTTCCAGAGCTCAGCAGAGCAACTTTCTTATCAACAACTTGTCCTTTGGCCACAAATGGAGAGTGGTCGCCCTTCTGCCTCTGGTGCACTCTGGTGTTCGATTTCACCATTAGTGGGCATAATTAAACTTAGCCTAACACTGTGGGAGGGTTCTCCAGTTCAGAGTCCAGTCATCTTTAACACACTCAGTGGTCTTCTACAGTTCAAGCACCCAAGATTGGGTGACCCTAAACAGGGGAGGGTAGATTTGTATAAAACTGAGGATTCTCTAGAAAATAGGGTGAATGGAGGGATGGGCTGGAGTACAGCCCAGATACCAGATAAGCTTCATTCTGTGTCTGTTTAGGAAACCACCTTCTAAAAGAGCAACAGAAAATGAAGTACAGAGAAGAGAGTAGGGGTGGGAACCTAGATAGAGCTGACCCGCAGGTGCGCTTAGTCCAGGATGGCCAGGCAGGACCGACCACTTATGGGGACTCTTGGGGTCCTTGGAGATCTCGGCAACCTTTTAGGGGCAGAAGCCAAAGCTCTAGACACCCAACAGGAGAGACCCCTCCTCCGCAGAGAAGGCGCAGTGTGAGAGCATCACCAGAAAACAAAAAGGTGGTCACATACACAAAGGCACCCTCCCTCCCAGGTCAGAGTCAGAGGGAGGGCCTGTGGCCAAGAAAGGGAGGGAAGTGTGGAGATTTACTTCTTTGCCCAGCCAGCTAAGCAGTGTGATTTGTCTGAACTCAATACAATTCACAAATGCCCTCTTAAATAGGTAAGAGGCTGTGTTAGGGTTGGAGAAGGTGGGGAAAGACCTTGAACCCAAATTTGAATTTAGAAGGAAAAATCCCTACTGCTTTTGCTTCTCTACTTAGCAGCACCTCTGAAGGTTAATGAAACCAACGACAAAAAAACCCAGCTGAAGGCTGCTTGTGTTAAAGCCACTGCCAGTAGGAGTTATGGTATCTCACCATAAAACTACATGTAAACCTGTTGCCATTGAGTCAATTCCACCTCACAGCAACCTCACAGGACAGAGTAGGACTGCCCCATAGGGTTTCCCAGTCTAATCTTTACGGAAGCAGATTGCCACATCTTTCTCCCACAGATCGGCTGGTGGGTTTGAACGACCAACCTTTTGGTTCGCAGCCAAATGCTTAACCATTGTCCCGCCCTGGCTCCTTACATGTAAACACAATGGATTAAAAACACTGGGCTCTTGAGAATTGCTCTTGTGGTTTGATATGGCTTGGCCTTTATTTGAATGGACAGAGGGCCTGGATGTGTCGGGGTTCAGGCAGGAAATAGAAGGCTCGAAGGGTTTAAGAGAGAAGTTTAATGAAGGTTCTTCGCATAGGTGTGAGCAAGGCTAAGCACATAAACCAAGATGGCTGAGTGTTCAAGGAGTAGCAGAAGCAGGAAGCCATTACCACCCTAGGCTGAAAGGGGCAGGGGAAGGAGCAGTTAACCAGGACCTGGCAAGAGCTGCAGCTAGGGAGGAGGGGGCACGATACAGGAGCTGGCCACAGAGGAAGGCAGCCTCTGCCACAACAATGGCATGGCAGAAAGGGAGAGGAAATAGGCTCCCTGACCTCAGCTCCTGCCCTCTGATCGCTTGCTGTGTCCCTATTCATTGAGCCCAAGAGGAAGCAAGAAAGCACAGCCGGGCAGTGTGGTCCTCAACGAGTCAGCCTCTGGACCAGAGTAGGTAGAGAATGGATCCCAAGGGGTATATGGAGAGTGCTGAGCATAGATGGTTTCTGTGCTTCCTGTAAGTGAAATCCTCCATAAACTATAGTTTTAGAAAGTGTTATTTTACTCACAAGAGAGCTTTGTAAAGGAAGACCCTGCATAGTAGCCCAGGAGACCTACAAGCCCAGATAGGACATGGAGGAGCCTAAAGAATCGATGGTCTTGAGCCCAGAAATGGATGCCCGGCAAAAGCCCGAGGGGCCGGTTGGGAGTGAGCCGTCCTTTTCACAGCACCCTGGGAAACTAACTGTGATTCATAGTTGTGAGCTTTTGGTGCGTACCATTGTTTCTAGGCTCTGAGTGGCCAATAAAAACGTGTAGTTTTAAAAACTAGTGTCTCTTCATCTCGGTCATTTGGTCGTGGCCTCACAAAGACTGATCCCCCTTGGGGAGACAAAGGCACAGTCTTAGTTTCTTAGTGTTGCTGTAACAGGAATACCACAAATGGTGATTTTAAAGAACAGAAATTGATTTTCTCTCAGGCTAGAAGTTCAAATTCAGGGCTCCACCTCTAGGGGAAGTCTCGCTCTCTAGGCTCTGGGGGAAGATGCTTGCCTCAGCTTCTGTAGCCCCCGCATTTCTCTGTTCCTTGGTTATCTCCATGTGGATCTATCTTTCCCCCATATGTGCTTGCTTGTTTCTGGGTCTCTGCTGTTTCTTATATCACTCAGAAGTGATTAGGTTTAGTACACACCATACACTAATATTACCAAAGAAAACCCTATACCCAAATGGGATTACCTCTGCAGGTATAGGGGTTAGGAGCCCAACACATATTTTAGGGGGATACAATTCAGTCCATAACAAGCACCTTCAAGGAAGGCTGACCACTGAAATCATTTATCATTGGCCGAAAATGCTGGGACGCCTGTCCCCTGCTGCTCCAAGCCCTTCTCAGCAGTGGGTCTCACAGTCCTGAAAAACAGGTGGACTGCGTGCTTGCACTTCCCTCTAGGCTTCTTTATTCTTCTTTTCACTTTTTCCTATTTTAGAAAGGACTTGCCCGAGCAGTGCACTGGCATCAGCCCTGTGACACAGTTCCTTGTTTCCGGGCAGCAGGGCCTCAGATTATTTCTATGGGTACATCTGCTGCAAAAGACCTCTTTAAAGTGTTAAAAAGCAAAGATGTCCCTTTGAAGACTAAGGTGCACCTGACCCAAGCCATGGTATTTTCAATTCCCTCACATGCATGCAAAAGCTGGACAATGAATAAGGAAGACCGAAAAAGAATTGACCCCTTTGAACTATGGTGTTGGTGAAGAATATTGAATATACCATGGACTGCCAGAAGAATGGACAAATCTGTCTTGGAGGAAGTACAGCCAGAATGCTCCTTAGAAGCAAGGATGGTGAGACTGTCTCACATACTTCGGACATGTAATCAGGAGGGACCAGTCCCTGGAGAAGGACATCATGCTTGGTAAAGTAGAGGGTCAGCGAAAAAGAGGAAGACCCTCAGCAAGATGGATTGACACAGTGGCTACAACAGCGGGCTCAAGCATAACAACGATCATGAGGATGGTGCAGGACCGGGCAGTGTTTCTTTCTGTTGTACATAGGGTGGCTATGAGTCCGAACCAACTCGATGGCACCTAACAACATCATCTGCAGTTTTGCTTCTACTAGTTCAACACTAGTGGCACAGGATTGGGCAAATAAGGGAAACCTGTCCTCTCCTAAGCAAGAGAAAAGGCAAATGCAATTTCTGTCCTTTCAGCACAGACACGGTGTTTTTCCTGCTTTCAGCCAAGGCCACCAGCTGACACGAGATACACAGTAATCACCAAAGTGCGCCTGTTTAACACTAGAGTGCCTGGCTGCTGGCACAATACCACTCAGCATTTTAGGAGAAACATTTCCAATCCAGTTCTGCCTGCAGCCTGGCTCTAACATGTCTGTTATGGATTGAATTGTATCCCCCCCAAATATGTGTTGAAATCCTTACCCCGTACCTGTGAATAGGACCGTGTTTAGAAATTAGGAGTTTTCTTTTGTTATGTTAATGAAGTCATACCAAAGTTGGGTGGGTCCTAAACCTAATTCTTTCTGAGTTATAACAAAAGCAGAAGAGACACAGAGACAGACACAGATGCCAGGGAAGGCCAAAGAACTCCCAGGGCTACTGACAAAGAAGGACCTCCCCTGGAGCCATGCCCTGAATTCAGACTTTTAGCTCCAGAACTGTGAGAAAATAAATTTCTGTTTGTTAAAACCACCCACTTGTGGTATTTTTGTTATGGGAGCACTAGGTAACTAAGACACATATCCATTAAGAAAAGAAAAATACATGCATACCTCCCCCTCGGCTTCTTATTCTCTTCATTTTTTCCTGTTTTAGAAAGGCACATTGCTTTTGTGTTTTTTTTATTTTATTGTGAAAACATACATAACAAAGCATACACCATCTCAACAATTGCTACATGTACAATTCAGTGACATTGATTACATTCTTCAAGTGGCATGTTGCTTTTTAAATCTGGGAATTATCAGCCCAGAGTGATGAAGTGGTCACTGCCACAGTAGAAATTGTCCACTCAACCAAATTGAACAAACAAAGATTATTCCACAAACACAAAGGCTGGGCACCAGGAACAGAGAGATGGAGCTATCACTACTCTCCTGGAGCTCACAGCCTAAGGAGGCCGTGATAGAATGAGTCTCCACTGAAGAGGCATAGGTGTTCCTCGTGTTTGAGTGAAAGAGGGACCCTCTCTGTTTAAGGGATGGAAGGGAAGGCTTCGTGGAGGAGGTGGCATGTGAGATAACCAAATAAGTGAACAGGTGTCTCCAGGATTGGAAATGAGCAAAGCAGCATGGCTCAAGGTTAAGGGCATGAGAGATCCTTAGGTTACAGGTTATGGTTTAGTTAGCATAGTGGGTCATGGGTTTCAGGCTAGATAGGAAGATGAATGGAAGTAAAAGCTTACTGAAGGATTGAGAGAAAAGGAAGTGGTCAAAAACTTCAGGTTACACCAAGGATAAAGAGTCGGTTCAACAGATACGATGGAGAAAGGACGGTGGGAGTATAGAAGGCTATGGTCAGAGAGGGATTTCAGAGCTAGAGATTTTAGAGGTAGCTCATTTACAGGAGGTGAAGCTAGGTATGTAGGTGTCAAAATTAAATGGAAATAAGTCAGTGAGGTTGAAGTCAAGTAATTATGAG